ATAATAAAGATATTATTAATTAGTTAATTTTTTTTAAAATTAAGGTTTAAGAAAGCGTAAGTTTGCTTTATAAAGAAAAATAAAATAAAAAGAGGAAATTAAGATTTTATTCTTTAATAGCTTTTAAAAATATGCTTAAAGGGGTTTTTAATATTTTTAATAAGCTTTGCATTTAATCTTTAAGCAAAAGGTTTTTTTAAGTAAGCTTTTAAATTAAGTTTTTATAGCAATTTTTTTATAATTATATTTTAATCTTATTATATTTAAGTTCTCTTAAAAGTATTTTTAACTTTAAGATTTATTTCTTTAAAAGCATAAAATAAAGGCAGTAATAATTAATAAAAGGCTAAGTATATCCTTTTTATTAATTAATTCTTTAATAAAAGTATTTATATATTTTATTTTATTAATATAATTAAGATAATGCATTTTTATTTCTTAATTATTTCCTTAATTAATTACTTTTAATTTTAAAAAATACTTTTAATTTCAATATAATAAATATTATAATATTTTTAAAGGTTAATATAAGCTTATTATAATATAAAAATATTATTAATTCTTTAAATAAGGTTTTTAAGGAATAAATTAAAATTTTTAATATATTTTATTTAATAAGTTTTTAACGCTTAAAAATTACTTAATTAAGGGTAATGCATATTATAATTGCTTATAAAAAATTATTTAAATTAATAAATCCCTTAATCTTAAGTAATTTATAAATATAAGCTTATAAATATAAATTTATAAAGTCTTAATATTATTATTATAATTTAATACTTAATTTCTTTACTTTTTTTAAGTATTATTAATATTAAGTTTAAAGAATATTTATTATACTTAACTTAAAGGGTATAAGATTATTTTTAATATTTTAAACTACTTATTAAATAAAGAATTATTTTATATTTATTATTTTAATTAAATATAAGGAGAGAATTAAGCTAAATATTATTTTTTATATTTATTTTTAAATTTTTTATTTTTTACTAAATTTAATTATCTTATTAAGAGCTAAGGCAACTTATTATTAAAAATATTAATTATATCCCTTTTTTAATTTATTAAAGAATAAGAAAGAAAATAAAATAAATACTATTTTATTTTTTAAAAGCTTATTATTACTTAAACGCTCTTAATACTTATTATATAAAGCTTTTTAAATATTTCTTTTTTTCTTTTTATGCTATATAAATTAAAAATCCAGTTCTAAGATTATATTTAGTTGCTTAATAAGGACTGCGTTTAATGCATTAAGGTTTATAAATTTCCAATACCCCTTAATTTAATAATAAAATAATAATATAGCAAATTAAATAAAAAAGAAATAGGTATTTAAATAAATTATTTAATTAATAAAGTTTAAAGAAGCATTTATAGCCATTATATAAATATATGCTTAAAAATAAAAAGAAATAAATAATATAAAATAAATATAATTAAAACATACTTTACATAACTTATTTATAACTTATAAAAAAAGATTATTTTATGCAAACTAAGCTTATAATTATAAAAAACTATAAGTATTATAAGGAGTTTAAAAGCATAATTATAAAAACATTTATCTCTTAAAAGTAGTTTAAAAAGAGAAAATAAAAGAAATTTAGCTATTTAAGCATTCCAGAAAGTAGTTGCAAACCAGGGTTAGGGATATATATGCAATACCAAGGAAGCTTGGATTATTATGTACCTTTTAGCTTAATGGTTAAAAGGTTGCTGCTTTGCAGCTTATAAAAGAAGGCGCTAGCCAGCTTGCAGCCCCTTTGGGGCCAGCCCATAACAAATTATCATTAAACCTTATAATATTTAATAAACTTCCTTCTTTTTAAATAAAAAGTTGCTATACTTAATAGGTATTTAAGCACCAGCATGCTTTAAATATCTCTTAATATATATAATAATTTCCTTTTTTTATTTTAATAAGTTTTTCTTTTAATAACCTTATTATTAATAATAATAATAATGCTTTTTAATATAAATTAAATTAAATAAACCATTTTCTTAAAATTAATTTCTACCTTAACTTAATAATTATTAATTATATATAAGCTTTAAATAATATAAAAAAATTATATGCTATATTTTATATTATATTAATAATTAATTAATACTTATTATTATTTAATAATTAAGGTTAATAATTATATAAATATAATATGCTTTAATTATATATTTATTTATATAATATTATAATTATTTATATATTATTTTATAAAAAAATATTAACCTTTTTTTTCTTTTATAAATATATTTAAAAAGATAAAATATATTATAATATATAAAAACTTATAAAAATATATTAAAACTTAGTTTTTTATAAATTAAAAGCAATATATTTTATTATAATTATTATTAATTAGTAATAATGTTATGGGCTGGCCCTAAAGGGGCTGTAGGCTGGTTAGCGCTTTCTCCCATAAGCTGCAAAGCAGCAACCTTTTAACTAAGCCAAAAGGTACGTAATAATCCAAGCTTCCTTAGATTATCTAGCCATACTATATAAGGCTTGGGTAATAGCCTAAGCCCATTATATAGCCCCCTTTTTTAGCTTAATATAGTGGTATAATTACCCCTAAGGCTTATTTATAATATTGCCTTTTTAAGCCAGAGATCTTCTTTATAATTAAGTAAGACCATAACTTAAACTTTCAACCCTAAAGCTTAAATTATTTATTATAAGCTGGCCCTAAAAGGGCTGCAGGCTGGCTAACGCCTTCTCTTATAAGCTGCAAAGCAGCAACCTTTTAACTAAGCCAAAAGATATATAATAATCTAAGCTCCCTTGGATTATTTAGCTACATTATATAAGGCTTGAGCAATAGCCCAAGCCCATTACAAATAATAAGTTTAACTTTTTTATTTATTTTTAATATTTAAAATATAATAAGCTTATTTAATATTTATATTTTAATAAATATACTTTTTATTTATTAATTAATTATATTAAATATTAATTAATAAAACTTAAATTAATAGCCTTAATATAAAATATTAATTTATAATTATAAGCTTTAAAAAAAGGCTTAAAAGTTTTTTAAGCTAAGTTTAAAATTAATAATTAAATATTTTAAGCTTATTTTATTAATAATAAAAAGGGGTTAATTATAATTTAAAAAAGTAATAAGGAAAGATTAACTTTAAGTTTTATTAATTAAGGATTTTATTATATTATAAGGTTTTTTAAAAAGAAAGTAATTTTTTTATAATTTAATAAAATAATGCTTTAATATATAATTTAAAATTAATTAAAATATACCTTAAAAATACTTTTTTAATATTTATATTATTAATTAACCCTTTAATTTATTAAATTTTAACCTTATTAAGTATATTTAAGCATTTATAAAAAAGCGGATTATTAAGTAGCTTAAGGAAAAATTTATAAGCTTAAATTTATAAGTAGCAATTTCTTTAGCTTAAAAAGCAGTCCTTATAAATATATTAATTAACCTTTATTTAAGTATATTAAGATAATTAAGAAGGGTTATTATAATAAATAAGGGTTAAATTAATATATAACCTTATAATTAAGTAACCTTTAAATATAAGCTGGTTGCCCCTTAAAGCGTATATTAATTTTATTAACGTGCATTAACTGCCAAGACCGAGAAAACCACGCAATTTGTTAAAATCAACCCAGGGGACCCCTATTAAACGCTCCGGAAGTCACGAATTAGGCTTCTTTTGCAGGAAACCCTGTAGGCTGATTCAACCCTAGCCCAGAACCGGGCTGCCGGCATATCCCGATACCGGGTGTCTATGTCCATGGGGCAAGTTTAACCAAACACAGCCACACTCAGTAAAGCTCACTTTAGGCTCACCCTACCTCACCTTCAGCGCAGTAAGACTCTAACCTCACGACTATTCCAGATTCAGGGGCAGCTCCACACAAGGGATGAATATTTAGGTAGCTACGATGTAGCTTAGCACAGGGGGAAGAGAGGGAACAGGAGTGTGGGCTCGCCCGCCCGGGCAGGCCAGAACAAGGTTAGCTCGTGGGCTTAATTCCTTTTTCCCACCCCCTTGTCGTTTCTGCTCGAAACAATCCGTCAAACGGGACTCGTGTGGCGCATCGGAAAAGGTTCTGGAATCCACGGCCTGTGAGTGGTTGGACCGTCGGCGAGGAGCTTTGGGACGAATGCCTGCGCCGTGACACTGACTGCCGGGCATGCTTGTGAAGCTGATGGTCAATTAGGTTTGCTGGCCAGGTTGCACTTGGGGGCTCAGACTGTAGGGTGGGACGGATGGATGGATGTTTGGGAGAGGCAGAGTGGGCGGGCATGAGAGCACGGAGATATGGAATGTCCGCATGATGGGCATAGAGATAGATATACACACACATACAGGCTGACAGCTGGTGACCGGGAGATGGTGAGAGATAAGGAATGGCTCATGTCTGATGTCCGCTGCACGCTATGATGGAGTTTGAGCGATCACTTGGGTAGTCAAGGGATTTGAGTTGCGAACTGGTCGGATCACGGCTAACCGCACGTTTGGGCTTACACACAGACACACACATTCTCACCGCAAACATTGGTCACTGAGGAGCAGGTTGGATAGACAGATTGCGAAGTGGTTTGCAGGAGAGATTTCTCCCTGATGTTCGATTCAAGCAGTTTTGGTATCATAGCTTCGTGAGGTACTGCTGATGACCTCAGCAGCCACAGGCTGCACTAACCCCTATTAAATCTTCCTGCCGCGCCTCTCTCCCTCCGGCCCCCTGGGCGGACAGGGCGGGACGACTTCCGCCTCCTTCTCTTTCCGAGGCTGTCGCTTATTCCTTCAGACAGACGAGAACGACTGCTGGTGTTGTTGAGGACATAATGAATGAATGTCCGACGCCGTTATGCCAATGCATGTTTTGTTGCCATGTAAAAGAAAATTCCCCGCCAATTCTCAAAACGCTGAACCCATGAGCCTTTGTTGTGCTCTGAACGCCAAAGACAAAGCAAATTTAAATCCACCCGATGACTTCACATTATCAGGCGTGGTGGGCCTTATAGTTGTAATTTTCCGGTGAGCTTGATGCTCATTCTCCTCCGTGCGGCGTTGAAACTTGACATTCTCTTGCCGGTGGTGGCAGTCGTGTTGGTGCTAGTTGCGGACAGGGGAGACATTGGAGAGATGGGCGACTCAGCGAGGTCGCTGGTTGGTGTCCGCGCGACAGAGAGCAACTTCTCGTTCCTTTCGATCCTCTCGTTCCTTTTGGCGACGCGGACTATCTCGTCGTACGTGACTGCGGCCGAGTGAGGTTGAGGCGGCGGCCTCTGTGGTGGGGGCGGCACAGCGAACTCGGACGTCTCCTCAATCGCCTCCTCGCTCATCTCCTGTGGTGCTTCGCACAACGGCTCGCCCAGGATGCTGCGCTTCGATGGCGATGTCGCCAGGGGCATGTGTTCTTGGGAGGCTGACGACAGGAATGCTTGGTTCATCCTTGGGGTGCTTCGCCTCTTCATCAAGCTCAATGTCCTAGCCACGCCCTTGAACATCTTGGTAGGCGTCCTGGGGGTTTTTGGGCGGTCGTCCTCCTGCTCTGGCTCTTTTGGCTCCTGGAGAACGTCTAGCGAGTACACGCTTCCGTTGGCGTAAGGATCGATCTGTAGGAAGGCCGGTTTCGTCTTCTTGATTGTGTTGTGGGTGGCTGGTGGCTGCATGCTGCTGCTTCGAGGAGGGTGGGCAGCCCGTACTGGTTTGGTGGAGACCGAGTCGGAAGACGTGCTTGTAACAGACATCCGCCGCCTCTTGACCTCAGATTCCTCCTGAGCGAGTGATTGTGAGGCGAGGTCCATGATGCTCTGCCGCCTCTCGAACGAGGTGGGTGAGATCGACCGTCGGTTTTGTGGCACATCCACGACAGACGGCTTCCCTGAGAAGATGACTGACACCACCCTGGCCGTTACCTCGTGGCTCCTCCTGTCTTTTGCAGGCGAAGGGCAGACATCATCGCTACTTGAATCGTACTCGAAGTCTGAGAAGTCACCAGCCGTGGAGGAGGCGTCCTCCTCCGAGGACATGTACTCATCGTGGGGTGTTTGTGTGAAGCTGGGCGGGTCTGGCATTGTCAACTTCAGGCCAACCAGGTTGTCGAGTAGCCGCGATGCTCGGAGGGCGCTCTTCTGGGGGAGAACAGGGGCCTGATCCTCTGACTGTGGGCCACCGTGTTGGCTGGGCTTTGCTGGTATCATGACCTGGTCGTCCATTGCGGCGTAGGTGTTTGAGTGAATGGAATCGGAAGAGGCACGGCTGTGGGAAGGAGTGTTGGTTGTGTAAATATGGACTCGGCCGGCGGGCGCGCTGGGCTGAGGTTGGATATATGAATGCTTGGCCGCGTGGCGATCAGTATTGGGCCGGTGCACCTCCCTAGGTGGGTAGTCGTGCTCCACCGGGGACATGTCGGTGGAGAAGACGGTGAGGTTTGTTTCTTTCTGGGGAGGGGCCAGGGTCGACAGATTTAATCTGTATTGCGGACAAGGGAGTATATGAGAGACAATGTCTTTTCGGTAAAAAGCAGGCCTGCGTCCAGCGGCTGCGACGTTGTGGGGTGAGCTGCTGTTCTTGTATGCCACCTGTGGGGACTCTTGTCTCTTGGACAGCTGGTTTGAATTTGGGAGAAATATGAAGGGGGCCCTGGTGGTAGAATGTTCCGAGATATGGGAGAGAGGATGTTTTAATGAGTTGGCCGGTCCTGTCTGGGACACACACACACACACCCACACCCGGAGAGCAGGAGCAGCCAGAGCAGACGCTGGAAACGAAAAGGGAAGCGGGCATATCCCTGGAACTGGAGACACCCAGCAGCCCCATGTCGGTGGTCCCCTGAGGTCGAGGTGGGGACGTGCTGGGGGCAGGGGGGCTGGAGTGCAGGCCCTTGTCCCTGCTAGCCACGCACCACGGTCCCCTTCCTTAATTGCCCTCATAATATGGAACGGAGCCAAGCAGCGACGGAAACGGTGACTTACACGCCTCGCCCGGGAATGGTGTGTGTCTCTGCCTCTGCACAAGTGACCGTGTCCGTATCCGCCGGCCCTGGCTACCAACTCAGTCAGCCAGTGTCTGGCCCGTACGGTACTCTGGGTGAACTACAGTTAACTACACCACGCGGGCAGGCCACACAAATCCTGCACCCACTCTGGGCCTGGAGGCGTGTCTGTCTCGTCGATGCATGCAGGTTTCAAGTCCTCTGTATGCGCCACCAAGGGATAACAGGCTGCACCACGGTCATTCTGGCGCTGGGCGTGATTCGCAGTTTCACAGGCTCACTGTGTATCGATCTGCGCCCAGGATGGGCAACCCGTGTTGTGTCGAGTCGACGCACAAGAAACGGCTCCGGTCGAGGAAGGGGCTACAACTCGGCGTCGAGCTCTCACCTGGCCGAGGTCACCGTGGTCCTGGCACGGCAGATCCTGTCTCGGCACGACGGGCAGGCTGATTGATCGCTTGCGGTCGCCTGGAGGCAGCGAGCCAAACGGTGTTTCAGGTAGAACAAGGCCACCGGAGGATGATTTGCTCGGCGGATACGACGACACGGCCTATCTTGAACGTGGGGACTTTTACCACTGCCATCCTCGGAGGGGTTCTTAACATTTTTTTTCCCCCATTCCTCTTGGGTCAGAATTGGCCGGTGGGACAAGAGGCCCATCGCCATCGATGGACTGGATTGATTGATTGTCGATTGATTGTCAAGTCAACTCAAGCCAGGTCAGGCCCGGTCGACTGGCGCCCATTTGGTGAGCACAGAGCGCTCGCGAAACAGAACAAGAAACAAGAGCGGCCTCGCCGGCGTCGTCATAGCATCATCAACCTGCTTGCGGCTTGCAGCTTGTCACTCGTCCGTGACAGCTTCTGTTTCCCGCCCCGGCCTGCCCCGGCTGCCCGTCGAAGCGAAGAGATCCGATGCATTGCGAACACCCATGGATGCCCAGGCCTGGCAGTGTGGGTGGCTGGCCTTTCGTCATCCTGTCTCTTATCGGGGGCCACCACCAAGCAATGGAGCGTTTCCTCCCAGCGGCCCACCGTTTTCTCTCTCCAGCCCATCACCACCCATGAATGGCCCCCAGCCGCTGATCCGGCCAGGGGTGGCACAGGAGACCTGAGATGTGTGCTACTCCCATCTCTGGATCGATTGGCAGGGTCCTCAGCATCCCGGAGACCTTGGGGATGCGCATAGCCTCTTGATTGGCCACACGGCCCTGCCCAACCAGTTCTCCCACCCATCCAGCTCTCCAGGCCCGTCGCCCTCGCTACCAATGACTGACTGGCTGGCTGGCTGGCTGGCTGGCTGGCTGGCTGGCTGGCTGGCTGGCTGGCTGGCATTCGACACGGGCCAACCGGGGGTTCAGCGGGCAACCAACTCTCTAGGACTAATTCCACTTGCTAGAGCATGATTTTGTGTTCGCCACCTTGCCCGGCAGTTTTGTGAGCATCGCATCAAGGACAGGACTATGGCGACTGACATTGAGAATTCCGAAAAGAGCAATCTGCAGTGGGTCCCCTCTGCGCGAGCGAAATTGGACAGGTTCGTCGCAGCTCGCTTGGCCCTTCCTCCATATCTTAGATGGGCAGATGCTCGACTGGCAGTGTTTGGTGGCTTGCATGCATGCGAAAAAACTCGGCCGACCACGCCGAATCTGGGGTTCGGAAGAGCATCCCACGGCGCCAGTTGCGCAGCGCATGCAGCGAAGGCGCCAGCCCGCTCACTCTGGTACGTAGGAGAAAACGGAACGCACTCAACGGCGGCGCCCCTGTCACCTAGAGCCTAGACCTGCAGGTTGCTTGCTTGCGTGCTCCTGCCAATGCTATGCTGCCCGTCCACTGGCGGATGCAGGATCCCACGGGCTGTCCAGTCGTAAAGGATACGGGATTGTGGGTGTCAGACTGAATATTCACGATGTCGCCCTCGGACTCAGTCATCAAAAAAAGTCGAATCTCAATGGAGTTTCGGCAAAGACCCGAGCCAGCCCAGGAAAAAACAGCGGCGCCACGCCAAATCGAAATGAGCTGGTGATCAGTGCTCACACAGATGCAGATTACCATCCTCCCTGGAGCCGCTGGGCCAAAAACCCATGTTATTTTACGCGGCTTGCCGCAGTTGCCGCCCTGCTATTGCACAGCGGAACGGCCGCTTCCCGAGGTGACCTCTTCAACGCTGATGTTATGTTACCATCGCATCGGTCCTACTCAGCCTCTTGATCTCTCATCTCAGCCTCCAGCGCTGGCTTCAACATCAGCTTATACGATCAAGTGGGTGCCTTGTGAGTGCAAGCGAGTGACTGTGGGGTCCAGGTCTGCCTCCCTCCAAACCGTGGTGGATGGGTAGTGTGGCCGCGACTAGGACCGGTTGCTAGGGGCTGGCGGCACCTCCCAAGTGGTTGCAGTAGAGGCTGAAGCACTCGTGCATGAGCCAGTCAGAGTGCACGCTGGCATCCTCTCCCCTATTCACAGACAGGACCATCACAACCTGCAGCTGCAGAGATTGTGGGATGGTGGGATGGTGGGATGCCTCCCTCACCGCACCGCAGCGACCAGACAGGTCAACCACGCCCCGTCATGTCGTGTCCTTTCCCGCCCGTGTCTGAATGCCCTCGCTCCACCCACGAATCAACGCCCCGAATCGTCCCGAAATCATCCACGGTCACCCGCCAAATCCCATGGCGCGAAATCTGTCGATATGCGAGAAATCAATATCGGGTGTCAGATTTGAGCAGAGCTTAAGCGGGGGCCGCTACTCCTGTCCATCATTATCACCGTCATCTCTATCCGATAGATCTCCGTCTTGGGCGACGTTCGGGCAATGACCACATCTGGCGTGCCCCTTTTCTACCATACATAGTACGGGCTCCACTGCGTTGCGTTCCCAGAAAGAACATTCGATGCCCCAGATTTTGGCGGCCAGCGATCCCTGCTCGGCACTGTGCGTCCTGTGGAATGTGACCGGCAGGGGCCTCTTCGCAGCAGGCCAATCAGAGGGGTGAGACATTCTCCCGCTGGAGAGGGCGGATCTCTGACAGTTCCCACCGCACACGGACCTCCCCATTCCGCTTCAGGACGACGGCTCGGTTCGAGGTTGTTCGTCATCAAACCTGTCAAAAACACTTCCCAAACAGCATCTGAACTACAGACGGACGGCTGCTGTGTGCATAGCATGTGCGCGTAGTTTCTTCACTCCAGCCACAAGCCCTCACAGCCGGGATCACATCTCTGGTAGACGTCTGCGGCTGGCGAGGACCATGGTACGCGCACATGCTCAGCCAGACCGGGCCAAACCTCTACGCTGCCAGCACCATGCTCAGTCTTGGCCCGCAGGGCAGAATGAGATGCGGGCTCAGCCTTGCTCCGTGCATCGCGAAACGGAGAGATTTGCTGCCCTCGGCGAATGGCGCCAGCCCGCCCGCCCCAAGCTCGACGACCGTTTTGCTGCCCTGGGGAAACACAGGCGCCCCGGCGTCCGGCGGGGATTCGATTTCTTGGAGTGATCAATCAAGGTTTACTACCATCTCACTTAGAGTTCTGCGGTGGTTGCAGCGCACTTGGGGGATGGCCTGGAAGGCAATTGCGCGCTGCCGCCGTCATCCTGCAGTAGTCAGCTAAGCGAATCGGCCGTGGCTATGGTCATCAAGCGATAGAGACCCTGATTCCTGACTCTGGCTCGGGCTCTTGCAGCCTCGGCTTTGTTGGTCTCGTCGGGCCACGTCGACGACATGGTGTGATGGTGCAGGATCCCGCCCTGTTTCGACTGGCATATGATTGTGCTGGCGGAGGAATACATCATCGTCTGGATGCCCGACCCCGGCAGTCGAGTAAGGCGTGCTGATAACAACCTTGAAGCCATCAAGATCTGGAGGAGGACTGGCCCACATCCCGACCATGTCGTCATCGTTCTGCTCGGCTCAAGCTCCCATCCCTGCCCAGCTTGCTACTCGCCAGCGTGGGTCTAGCGCGCGACTCGTGCCTGCCACCGCCCCAGCGCACGCCCGGCACCTGCTACATGCACCAGCCGCAGGTGGCTGGGTAAGAGCAAGCGCGGCCGACTGGCGCAGTCCTTGAGGTACGTACACATGCCACCGCAGTTGCAGCCCGCGCGGGATGGGCGAAGGAGGCTAAGCTTAATTCTATATTTGGACTGCCTCCCAAGCTTCGCAAGCCCACTCTGCTATGGCCTGCCTGCGGCTGCTATCATCAGCTGCCACTTCAACGACGCCGTCGTTATGCCATAAGGCCAGCGAGCGAGCACGGTGAGGGGAAATGTAAGAATGCCCGTCGACATTCGATCATCAGGTGAACAATTATGTTGAGTTGGGGAATTCCGAGTCATACCATCGCGACACACTGTGCTGCCTGTCACGCAAGCCATCGGCCAGCGGGTAAGCGGAGAGCCCACACAGAGCAGTATCCG